GTGTTGTGTATGGAAAAAGGTAAAAGATTAATGAAACCACAGACATCAACCTCCTATAAAGCCTTGTAATCAGGGAGTAAGCAGGTGTAGCTCATCGTATAGCCACACCCCTTCCACTCTGTCTCCTGTGAAGAACAAAGGGAACAATACACAGAACCACCAGAGTGGGAGGGGTCATCACAACAACAATCTGTTATTTTTCTTCTGTTTTCCCTTTATTGTGCTACAGATATAATATTAATATTAATGATCAGCTCCATAAACATCTCAGCCCTCACAACTATACTGCAATAATAATATTCAGCTTCAGATGGTTACACATGCATAACCAAGCATATTTATTTAAATATATATATGGAATATGTTTTTGTGGTAATCCATTGGATTTTGTCATGCTGTTTCTTCTTATTTATTTTTCTCTTCAAAAGCAATGACCGTGCCAATGATCACCATCCGACCACAATACCAGAACCTATAAAAGCCATCAGCCTCCAATTGTTCCAGAATCCTAAAATAAAGAAGAACAGGGTAATGAGTCATATGACAACCTTAAAATGATTTGGCTCACATATCAGATTAATAATGACAGAAATATTCCTTAATGAAAAGATAATGACAGAAAATTCAAGGTTTCTTCACAATCTGAGTTTTATTTTCATACTTTTCACCCTCAGTCCTGTCCTATTTATTATTTAAACCTGGTTTTCACAGTTTTCATTAATCTTACATGCTCAGTTGTTGGGTAAGTATCTGCAGTGCAGCTTCAAGCTTCAAGTTGTCATGCTTTGTGTTACTGTCCCTCCCCTGACTCTCATACAGAAAATACGAATTGGAGGTTTTATTCTACAAAGACTTTTGGAAAAGTCCCATTAAGAAGGTATCACTTAACGGACAGTATGGACAGACCAACAACTATTTAGATATTTTTTGTGAGTTTCACAGCCAGCAGTTTCACCTCCACACACAAACACACTTGGTTGCAATCTGCAACTTCACCACTAGATATCACTAAATAACAATAGCAGAGCACTCCACAGTGATTGTGTCATTGTATTATATCAGTAAATCTAGTCTTTACCTGTGAAGAGGAACCTCCCAAAAACTTCTGCATATCGAACTGTGCAACATCAATAAACGTCAGGAGTTTGTCCTCCTGGAACAGACAGTCCACAGTGCGGTAGACGTTCGGGTTGTCCACCAGTCTTCTGCTTTCAGGTACAACTTGGTCAGGGTTGAAGGTGTGATGCATCACGACCAGAATTGTTGGTTTACCATCTGCAAGCACAGAGATAACACAACCAGATGTTTTTTAGGTATTTTCTATATAATAATTTAGAGGGGTTCTAAGTAAGTGAGTAATTCAAAGCAGTATTGATACTGATAATTAAATCAATTACTGTATTTTGTTGTTGTTATTGTTGTTGTTTTAATCACTTGGAGGCAGCGGAATAATCTTTAAATACAAAAATTGGAAATCTTGTTGGCAAACAACTGCCTATTCATCAATCTGGCATATACAGAGCAACATTAGCATTCATTTAGAGCACAGTGAATATAAGTCTGATATTCACCTGTAGCTCTGCTTAGCTCTTTAGCTGCTAAATGTTCCACTATGTTCACCAGCTCCATGCTGACTTTATCTATCTGTCGTTTGGTATTGGGCAAGGAGTACACAGTTGGTATTATCAGAGTGTTTTTCACTTAAAACAGCATCTAGAAACAAGGTTTGGAAATTGAGGTGTAGTGAGAATGAATCTAAATAGGAAAGTTGCAAATGATCTAAAAGATTCTAAAAAGCTGTTGATTGGATGGTAGCTGCCCTGTGAGGTCATCACTATAAGAAACACTGGTTTTCTACCTGGAGATGAATTAAATTTAATTTGTGGTGTTCACATCGCAGAAAAAACATAATTCAGTTAAATAATTTCAAAGAACTGCCAATGTCGCCTCAGGGGGAACTGCAAAAACTCCCTCTTCATCAGTGTGAAATTGAGCAAACAATGACTAAAGGATTTTCATACCTGGAAGTTTCTTCAGAGCCTCGCTGATGTCCGCGCCAACTTGTGATGTGACAGGACAGAAAACCAGAAGGTAGTCACTTTCTCCAGAAGACTTCACCTCAGTGTTGCCGATGCCTTTAAGCTTTGCAACAAAGGCTAGATGAGCATCATTAGTTTTTCCCGCCAAGATGACAAAGAACTTTTCAAACGACACTGAAGACAGAGAAGAATGTTTCATTATTGAGCTTTTATATGGGTTGTGGGAAAGAGGTAAATAATAATAAAACTGGTGATTGATTCTCTTAAAGTCTAATCTAAATTGTTTTCTCTCCTGTGTTTATGTTGTCAGGATACTAATAAAGTTCTGTTTTAAAAACTTTTACCAGGGGAAAAAAAGGTTTTCCAGGATATTTTTTTCTGAAGCAAAAGCAAACTAAAAGTAAATATTAACAAATACTAATAATAAAGAATAAATACATTTCTAGCCAAGTAAAATTGCACAATTTGCTAACACACAATATACAGTACAGCATATATCTTGTGTTTAGAGTGCAGCATCTTGTGGCCAAAATGAGTATTACAATAATTTTTTTTTCACCCAAATGAACCTGGCAAAACCTTTTTACACCTGTTGCACAGATAATAAAAAATAGGAGGTGATGAAGTGGCTTCTTTTTTTTTTCTTATAAACAGGAGAGGAATAACAATTTAGGTCAGACTTTGTTGCACCCAATTTTCCCTCAGGGCCTCTGCACATATCATCAGACACAGAAACAAACATGAAGCACAAGAGCTACCAGGATGCCACCTCAATTAAATATGATTATGCCACACCTTGACGGCATCAAGACTTTTGAACGTGTAGTGAATTTGTGGACTACTATTTTGGCTAGTCAAGCTGAGACATAAATGTGTCCAGAACGAGAGAAATTACAGGAAAAATCCTCAATTTATCTCTCCCGTATAGGATGCTGTGTAGTTTATTGTTTGTTGGTTGTTGTCTGTGTATGTGGTCATGTAGTTACTGCTGGCTTTGCCCTCAATTAAATTCAGTCAGTTGATCTCCATTTATAATATAATTATTCGTAGTAGTAATTAGTAAGAACAGCTTTAAATATTATATTGTAATGACTAAGTGCAGTTTTTTTCTTTAACGCTGAAATATTGCAGTCTTGACTCAACAAAATATGTCGTCAATTTATAAAAACTGTAAATTTATTTTCTCACCAGTTGCCTTTTCCTGGTCCTTGTTTCTGATAAAGAGAAAGAGAGGAACCTTTACTCAACCTTTAGTGAGACATGGGAAGGTTAAATTGTGATGACAAAATGTAGATTGTAAATCATAAGTAACAAGAAGGATAAATGACAACATACCCAGATCCTTTGTACCCAATGTATACTAGTACCAGCAGTATACAAAAGAGAACAAGCTTCCAATGGTCGACTAAAATAAAAAAAACAAGCAATGAGTCATCTAGAATTATTTACTACTAGTAACTTTACTTTGCCTGTTTACCATAACCTCTGTGTGTTGTAAACAAACCAACTAGCCAACAGTTTACAGGGCTGTAGAGTAGAAATGCATGCACACAAAATTCTGATTGGACAGAGAAACACACCTACTATTAAACATTACGACGTGATTAAGGAGGTGGGGCAAAAACAAGATGTCTTGTGCATGCAAATATAGTCAGTGCTGGTTACTATCTACGGGTCAGTTTCAAGGTTCAAGTTGTCATGTTTTGTGTTACTATCCCATCAAGAAGATACACATTTTAATGTACATATGGCCACATGAGTGAAGTTTAAAGAAGACAAAAGCTGATCTGAAGTTCATGATTACAGTCCCACTTACAATTGTAAATTTTTTGCTGGATAGAGTCCTGAAAGAAAGAAAGAAAGAAACAAATTAATAATTATGTGCAGCATTTAAGAGGTGGACCGCAGTAATGATTCCTTATCCCTTAAAATTATAATATCAGTGCGCTCAGCATTGATTGTGTGTAAATCCGATAGCATTAGATCTGTAAATCTAGTCATTACCTGGATATCAGAAACTCCAACATACATCAGGACATCCGACCATGCATCATTATTGCGACTACACATCAGGAGTTTGCCCTCATAGAACAGACAGTCCACAGTAAGCTCAACATTGGGGTTGTTCACCAGTCTTCTGCTTTCAGCTAGAACTTGGTCAGGGTTGAAGGTGTGATGCATCACGACCAGAATTGCTGGTTTACCACCTGTAAGCACAGAGATAACACAACCAAATGAGTGAGGAATAAGATAACACTGAAGAAGAGTAAGTGCTACGGGTGACCGTCGTTCACTCCTGTGGGAGTTTAGTCCTAGAATTAAACTAAACTAAACCATACTGCAAAATGTCGAGATCACCAGGATTTATAACTGAAAATATAAATATAACTTAGAGTTCATTAGTATCAAAGAACTTTCGATGTGGTCTTGGGGGAACTGCTAAAAACAGAGGAATTATAAGTCCAGTTAGAACAACTATTTTCATACCAAAATAAGGAACTTTTCAACTGATTGATCAAATTTCCCTGTATTCCTTTAACTAATCAGTGTGAAATAAAACCATTTCCTACCTGGAATATTTCCCAGGGCCTCGCTGACGTCCGTTCCAACTCTTGAAGCGACAGGACAGAAAACCAGAAGGTAGTCACTTTCTTCTGGAGAGTTCACCTCAGTATGGCCAATGCTTTCAAGCTTTGCCACAAACTCTAGATGAGCATCATTAGTTTTTCCCGCCAAGATGACAAAGAACTTTTTCCTTGACACTAAAGACAGAGAAGAACGTTTGAATCATTAATAAGTTGTCAGACCCAGGTCAGGGAAATTTTGCCAAAAAAACATCTTGAGTGAGTTTCTGCTTGAATTAGAAGAGTTATTTTACACATCCCTGAACTTTTCTACTTACATAAGTAAGTTGATCTTAAGAAAATTTAATGCCTCTTAAAATGTGCTCTGAAGCAAGAAAATTTTGTGTATTTTTGTGTCAGTGTTCAGTATATGAATGAACACATCTTCAAACCATAGATATGCAGTGTGTGTTACTTCCTGGTTAAAAGCTGCTGCATGAACACAAAAGCCACACAAACAATCATGAAGGACTAATTATGTTGTGGACAGGTGGTTGCTGGTTCACTTCTGAGCTGCTGACTTAATTCAGGTGACTTTGTGTGTCTGTTTGGTTTGTTTAGGCTGGAGGCTGTAAATCAAATGATTTTAGCATGAAAAAGCCAACATAACTGTGCCTGTCTGTAGTTTGGTGCTGGACAGGTAACATACAGGGTTGTCAGAGCTGTTGCTGTGGCTAAAAACACTAATGAAACACTAATATAGTAAAGTTGATAGCCAGAAAGCCAAAACAATGAGTTATCAAACACAGAAACTGAAAGTGAGTTGATGATTCTCTGCAGGTTCATCACTACCAGCCACTCCTTTTACATTACATGTTGTCAGCTGATCCAGTTATAATAGAAAAATATAGGTAAAAGCAGCTTTAAATGGTATGTGTTGTAATGAAAATGTAGTTCATTCTCTTTTAACAGAGTGACATGTGAATTACAAGCAGTAAATTTGTTTTCTTACCAGTCGCTTGTTCCTGATCCATCTCACTGAGAAAGGAGATAAAGAATCAGAGACAAACATTTAGTCAACATAATTAAACACAATAAAATAAAGCTAAACAAGCAGCAGGTGTATATGCGTCACATACTGCTTTGTCAGAGCTGCACTGCACAAGCTTGTGCACAGCCCACAAAACACAGTTACAAATACCTCAGACGGTTGTAACAACCAGTACTCTGATGCATGGTAGAGAGTGAGCAGCTCACAGCTTCGCAGGGATTCAACCTTTTAAGATGATTTCTCATGAAATACACTGATAATTCCTTTGCAATGTCTCTGGCATATCTGTCCCCAACTCGACAGGAAAATATGTACTGCTCCTCCCTCTGACTGTAGCACTTTCACTTTTGCTTTTGCAAACAACATGCTCTCAAACTGTCCACTAGAAGAAGTGCAGATATGAGACATGTTTGTGTCAGAGATCAGATGCGAACACAGCAGGAGGAAGGAGAAACTGCAGAGCACATTTATACAACACTGCTGGTACAATACACGGCCACTGGCAGATACTATGTGTTTGTTTAACATTACAAAAATGTGAGAGTTCCCTTACATTTTGGATGGAGGGAGTCTAATTCACCCCCTCCACACAGACACACCAACCAACCAGAAGGAGTCGCTGGTGCAGTGATGAGAATGCAATCCCTTGCCAGTTCCTCAGATCCGGTCTTATATTTGAGCATTAGCTCAGTCCGTAGGGACCGGAGAGTCCTATGTGGCAGCCCATCACTCCACCATCGATCCACATTTACATGTCTGTAAGCCCTGCATGTGCATGGTTGTATGGAGTGAAAAAATAATTTCCCCTTGGGCATTAATAAAGTATTTCTTCTTCTAGTATTTGGAGGGTCACTGGTTTGATTCCCTTGCTCCCCCAGTCCAGTTGAAAAATTCTTGGGCCAGATACTGAACCCCAAATTTCTCCCATAGCCATCGGTGCTCGAATGTGTGTATGGATGAGCTTAGTACCATTGTGACTGTGGAATACATCCATTTGTCTTGAGACAAAGATGTACAAAATGAAGACTGGATCTGTAGATATTTTATTCTTCCATTATTTTCCCATAAAATATTAATGAACAACAAACATCTTGGTCTTCACAACTTTACTACAATAATAACAACAATAATCATTCCTTTATTACATTTGTTGAGATGATTAAACATGCATTACGTAGCACAGAGATACTCATTGCGCAGCTCGCGAGCCACATGCGGCTCGT